TGTTTGGTAATTCTTTCTGGCAATTAAACAGTTTTTTGTGAAAATTTAATTTTTCACATATTGGCATTTTCAAGGTGTGACTTTGAAGTTCCATGGGCTTGAAGACCCATGCTAGTCACATTTTCTGAAAATCCATGATACGTATATTTTATTATTAAAAATTGACGGTCATTATGCTGTTAACCACTATGTAATATTGCATCAGAATAGAGGAAAACACAATTTTGGGTGCTGCTGCCATGATGACCATTATGGGAAAACCATGTTACTGATGATTGCCAAACGTTCAGAAAAGAAATACAGGACTAAAATGCAGCCTGAGTTGGAAAAGCAGTCTAATTGGCTTCTTTTTCTGCAAGTTATACATTTTCAAAGTGTGAACTTGAACTGCCATGGGCCTGAAGCCTTATGCTTGTTACACCTTTTACTTCAATTGGTATTACCTGTTGAGCATAATTAAAATTTGATGTTGAATTTGCAGTTTAACATAATGTACTTTTACATCAGAATTAACAGTAGCCTATTTTGTGCATAGTTATTTCCTGCTTTTTGTCTGTACATTTGACAGCTTTGCTGCCTTGTTAACTTCATATTTAGAATGACGAAGAACCTAGCACCTAGTTCAGTTTGTTAAAAGCTCCAAAGAGTTAAAAGTGCCCCAAAAGACCTGAGTTATTTACCATTTCATCTTCCTGCATTTTCAGCGATGGAGGGCGGTGACGACTCCAGTATTCTCCGAATCCACTCAGAAACACGTCCGCAATGCTGGAGATTCTTGGTCCACAATCAGTCACAGCTTTATGTCTTCACGAGATACAATATTTACTCTTCAGTCCAGGTCTTATGACCTGCAAAAAGTTTAAGTTGATTGTTTTTTGCAAAAGCTGTTATTTTTATTGTGAAAGGCCTACATAGTTGTATACTAGTATATCTAGTAGACTAAGATCTGTACATTTACTTACACTCTCTTTTGCTCTTGTTTTGTATCAGATTTCTTTTGCTCTTGTTTTGTATCAGATTTTATATAGAAGTAAAATGGTATAGTAAAACTTGGAAGTATTATAATGTGCTGTACTTAACAAAAGATTTTAAAAAGTAGATATCATGTATTTTTCTAGATTCAAACAAAACACCTTTTTTTTTTTTTCAAATTTCATTTATGGAGCCTACATGAGCGGTGCCTCATAGATATATATTGTCTTTTACTGTAAAATCTTTATGAAGTACGAAAACAATACATAGAATGAATATCTATAATAATAGATGTATTGTAATGAAAAGTGACAGATAAAGAACGTATCCAAATCTGGGAAAAATGTGGCTGCAACTCTCAGAATTTTCTCACAAGTGGACAGAGAGGGAGAGAAGAGTGATTGCCACCTGGATTTTGATGAGTAATCATTTCTTTTCAAGAAATATGCCATTTCCAGTACTTTCTTGAACAGAACATTTTGTTTACTACTGGGCTTTTAGAAACTATTCTTTATTTGTCACTGAAAATGAATGGCTTTCTCCTTATAAGCAAAACGTAATTTCACTTGTTTTCATTGATTGGCATCATTGATTTTTTTTGCCTGAAATATTTAAGTTATTTTTTAGAATTAATTGTGCCAGTGAACACAAATGTAAACAATATTTTACATAAAGACATGTAGCAGTTGATAGTTGATATTGAATGAACTGGCATGTTGCGATTAAATGATATTGGGGTTTGTCTCCCATGGTGGAAAGATACATCTTGAACTTTTTTTTTGTAAATACAGCAAATGACTGTACTTAAATTTCAGAAAATATTTTGATATTTGATCATGTTCAGGCTATGCAGTCACCCTTAAAAAAGTGACTCTTATAGTGCTTGAAAAAATCCTGGAAATTTCTACATTTTTCACGTTATCATCAGCATTGTAATTTTGTCAGTGATTTTAGATATGGTGTGCATGGGCATTTGTGACCACACCACGGAACCGACCAAAGGAGGCCAAAATTGCTCATGTAACTTACGCAGTCATCCCAACCTATGACGTTGAAAATGTGTCCAAAGTGTTCAAATTTCAAGGAATTTTTTCTCTGTTATATGCTCAAGGTGTCTTTGAAAATATGAAATAGAGAAATTACTAAGCAATAAAAGTATCATCATAATAAATAACCTTACATATAGCTTCAAAAGCAAGTAGTTTTGCAGAAATCGTTACTCCTGTTGAAACAGTAGTATATATTTCAAAGTAAATACAAGAGCAGGGGACATGCTCTCAAAACTTTCTCAAATTTTAAATTCTTTGAAAAATAAGGTATGTTATGCAAGCCCTCAGCAGGCCGAATGCACATACTAGTATTTTTAATGCCAGGTGGTGGAATATTGCTAGAAAAACCAATAGAATTTATCAGAAATTAAAGTGACTTCAGAAAAAGTTTCAAGCTTAAATAATGCATGATCTTTAGAGAAAATGTCCCTTGCATCAAAGGCAGAATGCCCACTGTTATATAAACTCAGTATTATATGATCGGTCCTGTGATCATGATAATGAAAACTAAATAATGTTGTGACTGTTTTATCGTGGTGTGTAACTCGAAGTTTACTGATTTTTGCTGTTACCTGATATATATACCTGTATATATAGATGTTTAGCCTGCACGTGTGTTAGATGTGTAGCTATTAATTATCATTATCCTCTTTCTTTGCAACTGTGTGTGTAGTGATATTTATTTATTTTTTTTACCATTTATTTGTGTTGTTGGGCTTTGAGTGAATGACATACTGATACTTTAAGAAATATAGTGTTAAGAAAAGATACTTGGTTCAATGTAAGAAAGCTTTTTGTATCTTGTACCCTCTCAAGTAATATGGAAAAATATTTTATTTATTATGTGTATTCTAATATGGAAAAATATTTTATTTTTTATGTGTATTCGCTTTATGGTATCTTCTCTCCAGCTATCTTCCTACTGGTAGAAGCCATGATTGATCAGTTATACACTTATAAAAATACAATAATGTCATTTATTTTTTGTGAATGTCTTTTAACTCTGCTTTGAACCTTTAACATTGATATACATTAAGTTAACTTAACCACTAATGCCTTTATTAATGTCTCAAGCTGCAGAACTTCCTCAATTTATTTAAATTTTTCCTTAGAAAGGTCTGAAATTTTGTTGTCTGTATTGAAGTGTTGTGAATGCTTACGTAATTTCATATATTTTATTTTTTGCAGTGTTGTAATGCATGTTTTAGTAGTTCTTATTTTATTTATTATTTTTGTTAGATGATCATTTTATATGCATTTTATTTAACTATGTGCACATGTACATGTAGCTTCAGTTTGTCACAGTCATAAAAAATTAATTGGATTGTAAAAGAGATGACAGATTATTGATTTATGCAGCATGGCGTGCTCTGCAAGTTCTACATTGTACAATGCCATCTTTAACTTGGATACGTGTATGTTCTGAAAGATCTGCGTTGTGTTTTTACCGGTTAAAAGTTGGATGCATATAGGTTTTAAAAGACTTTTCTATATTTTTTTGCTGGTTTAAATTACGGTAATAACTGGATCTTTTCAAGGGTGTGAATTGTGAATTTTACAGATACTGTATAATGTTTTTCCTTTATTGTCGTCATTTGTTAAAATTAGAACATTCCTATTGAGTGATAGCAACAAAATTAAAAACCAGTCGATGCTATAGTTGTGTTTTATGCAGTAAAAGCACAACAAATGCTGTAAAAATATAATTTTGTGATTATAAAAGTATGTATCTGAAAGTTTCATTATTTTTGCCCATTGAAAAGATCGAGTCATTACCGTAGGTTTTAAGGGTCCTATATGCTTGCTGGATTTAATTAACTTGGGGCATGGAGGTTTTGAAAGTTCTGCATTGTGTTTAGCTGGGTTAAATTGCCATGGGAAAATGTACATGTAGGTCTTGAAAGTCCTTGGGTACATGCAGGTTTTGAAAGTTTTACAATGCGTTTTGCGGTGCAGGCACATTGATGTATGGGTTTGAGTTGAATAAATTCTTGGAAATGCAACATTAGTCTCCTTGTCTTTTTTAAGTAAATATAAGCAGCAAATGGTCATATTTCTCACCGTTGCCAGTATTTTGGAAGAAGGAATTATTTTAAAAAAAGGATAATAAATGTTAAAAAAGAAAGGCACGGACTACTGTATCAATAGAACCTGTGGCCTGTAATCGGCTGTCTAATATTGTTAGCAATTCACATTATTTGCTCAGTAACAGTAGGGAATTATATCTGATATAATTCCCTGGTTACAGTAATCTGCTGTATTTCCTGTATCATCTCAAGAGCCTATTTGATGGTAGTTTGTTTCTCTTAACAAATAAATATCGACCCGTAAGAGTATTTGCAACGCGAATTTTTCTGATTACACTACTTTATTTATACCAATAATGACGAGACCTGGTACAGAAGCAGCGTCAGCTCAGTTGTCAAGGTGGGGAGATATCGGCCCTTTCTGAATGTAGACCACACTCAAGAAATGGTTGTTGACTTTGGAAAGGAAAAAATTGTGAAAGAGCCAGTCTACATGTACGCAAGTGGCACTGCAATAAAGCAACTAACCAGTTTTAAACTGCTGGAGTTGTATTCATCAGCTTACTGACACGGAAAAATCACATACAGTAAACAGTCTCAAAAAAAAAAAAAAAAAAA